TTATTATTTATGTGTTGACGTTGATCTTTGTGTCTTTTTAAGGATGCGTCTTCGTGATTTTGCCGTGTGACAAACAAAAGATGGAGCGTCAAGGAAGGAGAGAAGAGGAGGAGGAAACAGGAAGCACTCTATCAACGAGGAGAGAGGAGGAAGAGGTGATGAAGGAAGGCGCCAAAGACAAAGTGATCGGTGGACACACTCCGATCTCCGCCTCCTCCTCCTTCCCCTCCTTTCCTTTCCTCTCCTCCTCACTGTGCCCAGGAGGAGGAGGCGAGGAAGACGAGGTCAGGATTGCCATCGTGACCATCGAGGACGAGTCGTGTCCGTCGGAGCCTTTCGGCATCGACTCCCACCTGGAAACCACCAATCAGATCGAACGAAGTTACGGCGAAGGAGAAGAAAAGGAGGAAGGAGAGAGGGAAGGAGATGAGGAAGAGGAGGAGGAGGAGGAAGAGGCAAACAGTGATGAAAAAGAGGAGGAAGAGGAGGAGAATGCTGAGGTAACGTCACCATCGCTTCACCTGCTGAGCCAGGTAAGAACAAACTGAGGTACTTGTACTTTGTTTGAGTATTTTTATTTCTATCAGAGGTACATATTGTACTTTGTACTACATCTCAGAGGTACATATTGTACTTTGTACTACGTACACATTAATGCAGCATAAACATCAGATATAACAGTGAAACGCTGGTTAGTTATTGATCAAACCTGTGGTTTTAAAGTGTTTGTTGTGTCTCCACCTAGAGGATGAAGGCGGTACTGCATCCTCTGCACTGAGCACAGAGTTTAAACACATTTGTTTTCTTATGCATCTCTTGTTAAGACAGTGAATTATATGTAATATTTCCCAAAATATCCCAAACTTCCCTCAAACTCTTCATTTCAGACCGGATTAAATAAGTGTCTATGTCCATCTCCTACAGTAACCGCTGCCCTTCCTCCTTTAATGACATATATTCACACTCCTGTAATGTGGGTTTTGGGCAGTTTGTTCACATGTCCAGCTGTTAAACGAGATTTAAGGCCGATGAAGCTGTTCATTCATCCTGACAGACTGGAGGAGAGGTGAGCTGTCTGGAAGCAGCCAGCAGGCGGCGACGTTGCACAATCTCCTCACTGTGAATGCACACACGCGCACACACACACACACCTAGCTCTGTGTGATGCATCGTGGGATCTGTGTGTTTGTGGCGTTCAGGTACCAGCCGACGACATCTGTGTGTGTGTGTGTGTGTGTGTGTGTGTGTGTGTGTGTGTGTGTGT